AATACTTGGAGATGAGGGGCATCGATCCCCTTACCTATGGCAAGCAAAGCGATCGCTCTACCATCTGAGCTACCCCCCCTTAACAACATTTTAATTATGATAAATCTAAAACTTTGCTGGCCGCTTAATTGACTAACAAAAGGATTACACTAAGTTTAGTGTTGCCTGTTAAGGGGACGTAGCTCAGATGGAAGAGCGATCGCTTCGCATGCGATAGGTAAGGGGATCGATGCCCCTCATCTCCAAGTATTATTTCGTTTCGCGCTAGAGTTCGACTCCCGGCAACGCCGAATTTGAACTTTAGGGTTCTTACCGATGCTAGGGCTTTTGGGCCAAGAACTGGAGAATGCTATCCAGGCAAGGACCAGCAGAGGTGTCCACCACGATCTTCCTCACGCCGCCAGTCTCGTAATCGCATTGCCCCTCGTACCTCGCCACATTCTTCTGGTGCTCCTCCCACGTCCTCGGCTTGTGCCACCACACGCTTGTGCTCGCATCGAACACGCTCTGGACGCCATCGGCCCACGCCTCGCGGCTGGAATCCGTCGCGATCGAAATCTGTGGGGGTAGTGGATCTTCCAGCAGCGCGGATTTTGCCCGCTGCTCCAGCCTCGTCTTCCACAGGATCTCGTCGCGGCACACGCATTCCACGATGATCATCTCGACGCCATTGCGCCGCGCGATGGATTGGCACTGGTGGAAGAGCCAGGGCCAGGCGAGCGGGCACACGACGATCACTCCCAGCCCCAATCGCAGCTGCGTCTCGGCAATCCGGAACATAATATCGTAGGAGATGGCATTGAGCTGCTTGGCGAGCCTGTTCTTCCTGGCCGCGTCTTGCTCCTCGCCCTGGATCATCATCGACAGGCAGTCGCGGGCATCGTCTTTGTCGATCAGAGGCCAGTGGAGGGATTTCGCCATGGATTCCCCGAGCGTCGACTTGCCTGTGGCTGGATGCCCCTTCATCGCTACCAGGACGGGCTTCATCGCCGCGCTACCGCAAGAGGCCGCCATGGATCAATTGGATAGGTAAGCTAGTTCTTAACACTTAAAAAAAGAATTTCCCCACGTATCTCCTTTCTATGTCTGTTTGCTAGCTTCCTGTTTGGTTTCTCTTTGTGGAGAAAGCATCGTGACGTTTCTTTCTTTTGTTTCCAGGAAACTCGTGAATTTTTCCAGCGAGAAACCACAACTATGCTTTCTCGACAAGAGATTTTTACCACGGAGTCATGATCTTGTTAGCAAGCATCATGTAAGTAAGCATCACCTTGCTTCTTTTGTTCATAGTTTTGATAACAGGAGGAGAGCTGAAACAGAAGAACGGACTTTTTGCATCTGCCAACGTGATGTTGAAACTTAGCGCAAACTTGCATCGTCAAGAGCCATTCAGAGCTTCTGGCCATGGGAAAGGCGAGCAGCCGCAGCAGCAGGAGCAGAAGAAGCAGAGGATTCGTTGCTTGCTTGCGGCTATCAAGGAAAGTGGTCGCTCAAGAAATCTGGAAAGTGGAAGGAGGTGTCATTCGGCAGCTCTCGAGCATGGAGACGACTCCAACGTTTACGTCGCAAGTAGCCTGGTGGACATGTATGGGAAGTGTGGCAGCATGACTGATGCGCGCAAGATCTTCGACAAGATGCAGCGTCCAGATGTGGTTTCGTTGACGTCACTCGTTCTGGGATACGCAGAGAATGGGGAGGCCCAAGAAGCTCTCAGATTGTTCCAGCTGATGAAAGGTGGCTGTGAGCCGAATGCCAGAACTTTTGTGGCGGGTCTCAAGGCTTGCTCAAGCCTGGCAGCAAGAGAAGAAGCGAAGGTGAGGGGCAGTGAGATTGTAAAGGTGGTGTCGCTGGAGAGAGGCCGGGAAATACACTCACAAGCGTCAAAGTTTGGATTCGACACGGATATCTTCGTCTGCAACACTCTCATTGATATGTACTCTAAGTGTGGAAGCATGGTAGATGCGAGAAACGTCTTCGACACGATGCAGCGTGATACAATCTCCTGGAACGTTTTGATGCTTGGCTACGTGGGAAACAAGGATGGGGAGGCCGCTCTACGGCTCTTATCGGCTATGAAAGCCGAGAACAAGAACTTTCCGGACAACAGAACTTTTGTCGCTGCCGCCAAAGCCTGCACAGCTCTCGCTATCAAGGAAGATGGCAGGGAAGTGAATGGGAGGATTGTCAAAGTGAGAAGTTTGGAAAGCGCCAAGGCTGTTCACAGTCAAGCAAAATCAGCTGGTTACGAGAGCAACATCTTTGTCGCCAACACTTTCGTGGATACTTACGCAAAGTGTGGGAGCATGGTTGACGCTCGTCGAGTTTTTGAGGCGATAGCTCAGCAGCGTGATGTTATATCATGGACGGCTCTCATCCTGGGTTATGCTGAGAATGGACGAGGCTCAGTAGCTCTAGATCTGTTCGAAGCTATGCAAGCAGATGGTTGTACTCCAAACGCTCTCACTTACGTCGCTGCACTCAAGGCTTGCTCGAGCTTGGCTTCCAGAGAAACTGAGCCTCGGGCAAAGATGATGCTACTGGAGAAAACTATGGCAATCCATTCCCGGGCTGCAAGAGCTAAGCACGACTCCGACAACTTCATTGCCAACACGCTCGTGGACGCGTACGCAAAGTGTGGGAGCCTTCACGATTCTCAACGGGTTTTCGACCGGATAAGCCGTCGGGACGTCGTCTCCTGGACTGCTCTGATCCTAGGACATGCCGAGAGTGATCAGCCTCAGGTAGCGCTGGAGCTTTTTTCTGGCCTTGAAGACTGCTATGTTAATTCGCTCACTTTCGTGGCTGCTCTCAAAGCTTGCACGAATCAGGCAGCGAGAGAAGAAGGCAGGGGAATCGGTGGGAAGCTGGTGAAGATGAGGTCACTAGAGACAGCATTTTGGATCCATCAGCAAGCCGCGAACAAGAGTTGCGACTTGGACGTGGTGCTCGGGAACACACTGCTCGACTTGTATGCGAACTGTGGAAGTTTGCCAGATGCTCGGAGGCTGTTCGATAGGCTACCCGCTCGTAGCATCGTCTCTTGGAACGCGATGATGCTCGGGTACGCCGAAAACAAGGAGGCAGAGTCAGCTTTGGAGCTCTTCTCTCTCATGGAAAAGCGCTGCCAGCCAACTTCTCGGACCTTCGTGGCTGCTCTCAAGGCGTGTGCGGTTCTAGCGGAAGCTGAAGAAGGCAGGGAACTCGAAGGAAAAGTTGCGAAGATGTGTGCTCTGGAGAAAGGAATTACTGTCCACTTGCGAGCTTCGAGCTATGGCTTCCAGTGGGACTTGTTCGTTGCCAACTCTCTAGTCGACATGTACGCGAAGTGTGGAAGCATGGTGGATTCTCGGCGAGTCTTCGATGGGATGCGACGCCACGATGTGGTATCGTGGAACTCGCTGATATCAGGCTACGCGGACAACGACCAAGGCGAGGCAGCTCTCGAGCTCTTTGTTCCCATGGAGCTGGAAGGCTGTGCTCACGACTCCCGGACGTTCCTGGCGTCACTCAAAGCTTGCGGCTGCGTTGGAGCTCTAGACATCGGAAGAACACTTCATGGGAAAATCCGAGACCTGGGACTCGACGGTGATGTGGTCATCGCTACCTCGCTGGTGGATTTCTACGGCAAGTGTGGGAGCATGGTGGATGCCGAGCAAGTTTTCTCGTCGATCGTCACGAAAGATATCGTGGCCTGGAATGCGCTTCTAACAGGATACAGCCGCCAGGGAGATACAGAGGCACTGTTCCAAGCTTTTGACAGGATGATGACTTCACGTCCTCGAGTTCGTCCGGATGGAGTTACGTTCCTGTGCCTTCTCACAGCGTGCAGCCACTCCGGCCTAGTCGATCAAGGCAAGCGCTACTTCGAGGCTATGAAATCTATCCATGGACTCGATCCCGGCATGGAACACTACCACTGCTTGGTCGACATCCTGGGCAGATCGAACAGGCTCGAAGAAGCAGTGGCGATGGTGAAAGAGATGCCAGTGGTCGCAAACACCGTCTCGTGGACGACCGTGCTCAGTGCTTGCCAGAAGTGGAAGAACGTAGAAGTGGCGAAGGTTGCCTTCGATGCGTTGCTAGAGCTGGACGAAGAACAGCCCGCTGCTCGAGTGCTCATGGCTAACATCTATGGCAGCGTTGGGATGTGGGACGCTAAGGCCAGAGTTCTCCAGGAAGCTTGAATGCCGGGATGATCGGACGGAGCAGATGGACAGGGCGGGGATCAAGGATGCCGTAGAGAGGTTGGAGCTTGGTGGTCGGCCGGTGGACACTACAACTTACGCAGATCTTCTACGACATTGTGGCAGTGCTAAGGCTCTTGCAGAAGGCCGGAAGATTCACGAGCTTGTAGCGAGTTCCGGGCATGGGGAGGATCCATTTCTGGGGAACTTGCTCGTGAGAATGTATGGCAGCTGCGGGAGATTGCAAGAGGCTCTGGAAGTTTTCAACAATCTCAAGAGAAGGGACGTGTTCTCCTGGAATGTGATGCTGGCGGCGTATGCCCAGAACGGGCATCTCCAAGAAGCGGCTGAGGTGTTTGATCGAATGCCACTGAAGAGCTCCTCCTCCTGGAATGCGATGATCACGGCTTACTCTCTCGTCGGGCGTGTGCTGGAAGCGAGAAAGCTCTTCGATAAGATGATCGAGAGGACAGTCATCTCTTGGAACACCATCATCGTCACGTATGCCCAGAACGGGCATCCCGCGGAAGCTCTCTACATGTTTAAGACGATGGACTTGAGTGGATTCCAGCCCAACAAGGTGAGCTTCCTCGCAGTGCTCAACGCTTGCGCTAACGCTGGAGTGCTTTCTCAGGCCAGGATAGTTCACTGCTTGGTGATCGAGAGTGGCTTCCAGTCGGATATCATGGTCGCCACCACGGTTCTCAACATGTATGGGAAGTGTGGAAGCCTGGACGATGCCTTGGCGGTGTTCCATGCGCTTCCTAGCCGAGACGTGGTGGCTACCAACGCGATGATCACAGCGTACGCTCAGAACAAACACTTGCCACAAGCCAGGGAGCTCTTCGAGAGCACGAAGCGGAAGAGTATCATTTCCTGGAACACAATGATCGCTGCTTACATCCAAGCTGGTGAAATCGCGGAAGCCAGGGGCTTGTTCGATCGAATGGAGCTCAGGAACACGGCTTCCTGGAACACCCTCTTAGCAGGCTACGCTCACAGCGGACACCTCCAAGAAGCTCTAACGCTCTTCGCGATCATGGACTTGGAAGCTCGCGAGCCGCCGGACAAAGTCACCTTTGTGACGATGCTCGACGTTTGCGGGAACCTCAAGAACTCGGCAGCCGGGGAGGAGATCGACGCGGCAGTGACTTCGAGTGGCCTCTGGCAAGACGTGACGGTCGGGAACGCGCTCGTTTGCATGCACGGCAGGTGTGGACGAATGGAGCTCGCCAGGAGCCTGTTCGAGAGGATGGAGCACAGAGATGGCGTGCTGTGGACGACGATGGTGGCAGCCTACGCGCAAAACAATCTCCTGGATCAAGCCCGGGCTACGTTCGACGCGATGCCGGACAAGCTCTCGCTCGTTGCCCCCTGGAACGCGATGATCTCGGCATACGTCCGCTACGGAGAGAATTCATCCGGAGTGATGCTCTTCCTCCTCATGGACCTGGAAGGCGGCCGAGCGAACGAGATCACGCTGGTCTGCGTCTTCGAGGCTTGCACCACTCCATCCCAGCTCGCCACCGGACGAAGAATCCACACGGCCCTGGAACGCTCTGGCGAGAACCAGCTGCTAAACCATCCGGCCGTGAGAACCTCGCTCGTCAACATGTATGGAAAGTGTGGCAAGCTTGCGGAAGCTCGGGCCATCTTCGACGCGGTTGCAGCGTCCCAGCGCGGAGATCTGGTGCTCTTCTCGGCGATGATCGCGGCCTACGCGCAGAGCGGCCACAGCAAGGAATCGCTGGAGCTCTTTGGCGTCATGGCTCTCGATGGTATACTGCCGACGGACGTCACGTTTATCAGCGTCTTGGCGGCGTGCAGCCACGCGGGCCTGGCCAAGGACGCGCGGTACCACTTCGTGGCCATGGCTGGCGACTACGGGATCGCGGCGAGCTTGGATCACTATATCTGCATGGTGGACGTGTTGGGGAGGTCCGGAAAGGTGGCGGAGGCGGGGGAGCTTGTGGGTGTGATGCCGTTTGTGCCGGATGCTGTGGCGTGGAAGACTTTGCTGGGGTGTTCTAAGGTTCACGAAAATGCTGGGCTTGCTCGCTGGGCCGCGGAGAATTTGGCCAGGATTGATGCCAAGAACCCCAGTTCTTATTTGCTTTTGTCAAGTGCTGTCACCAAAGTTGGCAAATCTTAGCTAAGATTTGCCAATCTATAGAATCGCAATGTCTGAGCTCGAATTTTTGTCACAGTACCTCTCAAGTGCGTTCCATTAAAACTTTCCAAATAATTTTCTCGCAAAAACAGCCACACAATTATTTGGCTTGAAAACACTGTACAAACAACGGGTTCCAGTCGTAAGCAGAACCTCGTTTCCCTCTAGAGAACGAAAAAAAATTAAAAACTCTTGCCTTAGGCCACAGTGTAAGCTGGAGAGAACACCGTAAACGAGTACAAGGCAGCGGCAATCCCACAAGCACTCACAAGCGTTGCGATCCAGGCCATCACAAAAGCCATGACCAGCTTCCAGTTGACATTCTACAGCAAAAACAGAATTTGTTGAGCACAAGAGGAAAACTAAAGAATGAGAGACGACCATTTCACTTACCTTGATGTTATCTGCGGCTCCAACGCCAACAATAGCGCCCACCACAACGTGTGTCGTCGAGATGGGAAGCTCTGTCCTTGACGCGAAGAGAATCGTCGCCAAGGCACACAATTGTGCGCTGTAACCCCGGGACGGCGTCATAAACGTCAGGCGGCCACCAAGGCACCGCGAAAGTTTCCATCCAAACAGTGCAAATCCAAGTGACACGCCTATCCCAGCCATTGCGAGGATCCAGACCTGAAGTACACAGCAAACGGTCAGTGCTTTGTTTCTAAGCTGCCGGGTCAAACTTACATCGATATCCCGGTTTGGAACATCAGGCCGGTGATTAAATATCTGGACCACAGCAGCATACGGGCCCATGATGGCTGCAACATCGTTGGATCCATGCGCAAACCTGACACACACAACTGTATCTGAAACTCAAAAAAAATTATCAAGCTTACGAGGCAACGCATGCTGTAAGGACTTGCAAAAAGCTGAATAGCTCTTCGACTTTGTCGTCGAACTTCTCAGCGAGGGCGTGGCGAACAATTACGTCGCGATCGTAGTCTATTTTCTGCGGAACAGATAGGCTAGTAAGAAGGAGAACATGCGAAATATGTAAACCTCTTACGTGGCTGATTGTGGCAGATTTGATTCTGTGAAGGAACTTCAGCACCTTCTGTCGGGCAGTCAGTTTTTTCGGACGTCTGATGCGCTTGAACGTCCTGTGCCTGTTAGGTGTTCGTGCTAGTAGTTGTCCAAAGGAGAGCTTGCCTGGTCCACACATAGGACTACACCTCACAGAGACGTCCGGGCTTGCGTTACCCTCGTCTTCTCCTTCATAGACGGTGTCCAGTACTCTAAGCTGGTTGAATTGCTTTATCATCTCCTCCGGACTCATGTCTTGCTCTTGTTGTTGTGTTGAATGATCGTGAGGCCCAGGCGGAGCTTCCTTTTCCGGTGCAATGGCGATGGCAATCGGTTGCGTAGGCTCCTCAGATACAGCGCTATCCTTATTAGCAGCGCGTAATTGTTTATGGACTAATGGCACAACAATCACCTGCAGGTAGAATAACTTGTAAGTTACTAAACATCAATACAGAAGAAAGAAATCGACTTACAAATGCCAATAAAGTAGCCAAAATGCCAGATAGCCCTGCAATAAGAGCTGCCCTCCCCGCAGGCCAGTCATGAAGACTGGATCTAGAGGCTCCCTGCCGTGGCCGTGCTTTGAAGTTAGAAAATTAAGAACGAAAATGACCGCGACTAACCTTGTATATGACAAAGAATATCAGCACCATAACTGTCAAGCCATAATACACCGGCATGAACTGGAGTATCCGCTTTCCCGCGTGCTCCGTCCTCAAAAAGATCATCTTTGTAAACCCGAAAAAGAGGAAGGACGCGACCGCAGCGATTAGAGGCGCTAGAAACCAGGACAAGATAATCTCAAGCACTCCCCCGATATTCCCTGCGAGCTTATACCCGTCCTGAAGGACAACGATTTCATTATCCGTAGCTAGAAAACTCACCACTAGGTACTTACAGGTCTTCCGTTCCAGTAGATCGCCTGTAGTCCTCGCGCTGTCAAAGCCATCCCAATGATGCCGCCAATCACGGCCAGAGTGGAAGAAACTGGTAGCTCTAAGTACGTTGCAAATGCCAGGCACACAGCTGCAAACACGCTCGTTAGTAGTTGAACCAAACGAAGATGCGATAGTTTACTTGCAGCTATTATGGCAATGAAGAGTCCCCACATAAAAAGCCCGGCATCAGGTGGCCTCTCTCTTAGTATCTGGTAGAGAGAAAAAAGAAAAAAAACCAAAGCTATAGCGACTCAAGAGCGTAGAAGAAAAGACTCACCAGATTAAATTGCATCGAATCGAGGTTCCGATCGCCCATGACCGTGGCGCCAATGAACTCCATCAGCGAAGCCATCATCGTTGCTTGGGTCATGGACAATGCTCCAGAGCCAATCGACGTGCCAAACTGTAGAGAGAAAACTAAGCTAGAATCGATCGTGTAAAAAAAAGGGGGGGGGATGAGCACTCTTACCGATGCCGCCACGTCGTTGGCGCCGGCAGCACAAGCCAAGGCGACGGCCACGAATCCTCCGAAGATAGTGATCCATCTGTAACAATCCCAATCCCTCATCACCGCCGACGCGGGCCCATAAGCAGCCTGGAGAAGAGACCGAGCTGCCATGCCGGAAGAGCTCGCATGAATCCCGCCCTAGGGTCTCGGCGACGAAAGCACCGCGGACAGCGTAAATGCTTCGATCACTTTGGAAAAAGTCAGCTAGCTACTCCCGTCACGCTTGCTGCTACCCGCGTTGTGGATCGATATTACGCTCTAACGCGCAGCGATCGATCGATCGATCCACCCCCCCAAGGCCGCCCGGAGCTCGAAATCCACCAAGAAAACCAGAATGCCGCGCAATCCCCGGGGTTTCTTCGATCAGCGCCTGGGCGCCAGAGCGCCAGAGATTCCCCCAAGCCAGAGCAAGAACAGGCTCCAAGAAAAGCGAAATCCCGCTAGAAAGATGCAAGAAATCGCCGATTCAAGCTCTACCCAGAAACGGCAAGACCTTCCCTAGATTTGCTGGAACGCGGAGCGCCAATGCGACCTCGTGCAATGCCGTAGGAGACCCCAACGGAGTTCTCAACGCGGTAAATTTTAGGAACAGTGTAAAATACTTTTTTCCGCGCAGAGTATATTCTTCTCATTGTGGCTAAAACCCTATTCCTCTCTCTCTCTCGATCGAGTCGATGGAAAGCGCGGTTCCTCCCGGATTGGCGCTTGCCGGTAAGCTAGAATCTCTCAATCGTGATCGCCTAGCCTACATTTCTCTCCCGATCTCCAGGAGCGATGGCGAGAGCTGGAATTTTTGGCAGGCGCTTCAGCAGCGGCGCATTGGCCGCGCTCAGTAATCCGGATTGTGGCGCTACGAGGAAGAAGAAGGTCGCAATGTGGATTGGATACGTTGGAACAGGCTACAAAGGCAAGTTTTTCTTTTGACGTTCTTCCAATGTTTGAGCCTTTGTTTGTATTGTTCTTCCTCTCAAGGCTTGCAACTTCATGGAGATCATCCAAGTAAGTTCTCAAGTCATTGTTCCTTGTTCTTGGAGCTTAGTGCTCTCAATAGTTCCTTGACAGCCATAGAGGCCGATCTAGACAAAGCGATTTACAAGGCTGGAGGGATTCTCGACAGCAACTACGGCCACCATATGAAGGTCGGTTGGGCGAGAAGCAGTAGAACTGACAAGGGGGTACGTAACTCTCTTTTGAGCTTTGCTCTTCGTGCTCGTTTCCTATCGTTTTTCTTTAGGTGCATTCACTAGCTACAGTGATATCCCTGAAAATGGAGCTGCCTATAGATGCTTGGAGAGACGATCCTGGTGGAATCGAGATCGCGGACAGGATAAATCGCCATCTTCCACAATGTATACGCGTTTTTGGAGTCGTCCCAGTAAGCAAGTTAGTTTTGGGTTTTCTTTGTTTGTTTACTTTTGTTTAAGAGTGTAGCTTGCGACTTGTTTGCAGAACTTTTCGTCCCAGGATGGCATGCTCTGAAAGGTCTTACGACTACTTCCTTCCGGCGCTGTGCGTGGGAATCAATCAAAGGGTATCCACTTGTGAGATTAAACAACTCCTGGAACAGTTCAGGCTCCAGCTAAAGCTGTTTGAGGTGCGTTGTTTAAAATTGACGCATTCTTTCTCTGTGAAAGCGAACTTCTCCTGTTACAGGGCGAGCATCCGTTTCACAACTACACTATACGGCGCAATTATGGAAAACCAAAACAACAAGATCTCAACTGGCGTACGAGAACTCCCATAGCGGCGGATAATTCTTCTTCTTCAGAAGAAGAAGACGAGGATGGAGATGCCGACGAGCCACGGCTTCGGGTCCAACAGAAGCCTAGTCCTGCATACTGGCTGCAGGAACTGGATCCGACAGACAGGATCACGTCACAACATTACAGAAAGATCATCAGGTGCTCTTGTGGTGATATAGAAAAGTTCGGAGACACGCTTGCCCTCAGAGTCAGTGTTACGGGCGCTTCTTTCATGGTTCACCAGGTACGCACCTTCTTTCCTATTTTCGGTTTCGTTTTTGTTTAGAAATCTGGAAACTCTTGCAGATACGAAAAATGATCGGAACGGCTGTTGCTGTGACCCGAAAGTTGCTACCTCCGGACATAATCCAAATGTCTCTCTGCAGGCATTCACGGATTGTCCTGCCAATAGCACCTTGTGAAGGCCTCACACTCGCCTCAAGTAAGTTTTGTTCCCAACACAGTACATCTCATGCCATCAACTTGAGTAGCCTCGGATGCCAAAGAAGGGAGGCCTTTTGGAAAGACCACGTTTTCCTGGAGATTGTCAAGGCCATGAAGAGTGAGAGGGATCCTTGGAACAAGTGGTGCGAAGCAATGGACTCGTATTGTTATCTCCCCGAGCCAGATGTAAGCTCTCTCCGTGATGCGTGGTTAGACTGGAAGAAACAGCGAAATGCATGCCTTGTGTAAGACAATCTATAACTTGTTACACTTGGTATCTCCAGCTCTTTGGCCTTGTTACACTTGGTATCTCCAGCTCTTTGGCCTTGTTACACTTGGTATCTCCAGCTCTTTGGCCTTGTTACACTTGGTATCTCCAGCTCTTTGGCCTTGTTACACTTTGTGTATCATTTTTACTTCGTTTTGTTGTCAGCAAACTTAACTAAAACAAATTAGGCCTTACTCTCCAAAGTTTTTGCTCTGGTTGTAGTTGTTGGAAAGACAAGTGATACTGAGTTTGTTGACAAGTTGCTCTAGCTAGATGGGCGTGCCCATCTCTAATCCTTATGGTTAATTTTAATAATCTGTAGCACTATATCTTTCAAAATTGTCAGTAAGTTTCGAGGTTAATTTACCAGACCTTAGATGCCATATTATCTAGGGTGAACCAATTTCCTTTTTTTTGTGGTATGTTTTTTTTATAACTTTTATTAAATTTTGAATCTTAAAAAAAACTCCATTAAATCAAGTAGTAAAGTTCATGTATTTTAAATCAAATAACAAAAGTTAATATGTTTTGAATGTTATATGCTACCATTTTGTCTCCTTCTAAAATTTACAAAGTTTGATAAGTCTTATAAAATTATTTAATGGTGCTTGATTACTTATGGAAATCTATTGAACAAGACTATAAATAAAGATTAATTATATTGACAATATTTATATAAAAACAAAAATTAATTCAATTGAATTTTAAATTGAAAGTTTTAACTCAAAATCAAGTCATTGTTTGTGACTTAAAATTGAAATCATAATTTTAAAGTTATATTTTCTCATCTAAAATTTTAATTATTTAATATCTAGTTTTAATATTTTTTCAAATTTCCATATACATCAACTATAATGAAGAGTTTTGGCAACCAAGAAAGAAATCCAACGATCACAAAAAATATAAAGTGGTCTCTAAGAGAAATAATAATGAAACTTTTTGATCAGAGTGGGTTTGTGTTGAAATATTTTATAGTTTTTTTTAATCTTTGTAAATAATATTATATTAATGGATGCTATTTTCTAATATTAAAGTTATCTCTAAACTACAAAAGTACTAGAGATACAAAAAGTTTTTTAAAAATTACATATAGCTTAAAGCAAAAAAATTCAATTTTCAATTAAAGTTTTTTTACAATTATATTTTCCTGACATCTATGTTAGAAATGTGATTGTATCTATAAATGAATCACTACATAAAAACTAAACGATCATATAAGAAATAGTTAAAATTTTAAGTGACCCATAGTAAAAAATAGTAAAATTGATCAAATTTTAATGTAGTTATTTATTTCAATTGCAATTAATATATTTTATCCCAAAAATAAATAAAATCCAAAGCTTGATAACTTTTTATAAATAAATATATAAAAATATTTTAATATAACAACTTTTAAATGATTCATGATGAAATAGAAAAAGTTTTAAACTTCATATTAATAATGAAATAAACTTTAGCACTTTTCATTATTTTAAATATTTATTTGAAAAGTTTGAAATATACTTTGAAAAAGAAAAAAGTGTCAAACTTATATAGAGTTTAATCTGCATATACTTCTGAATATTTAACTTTGAAAAAATATTTTTAATGAAGCTTGGGAAAATATGAAATGAAAAAAGGAAATCAAAAAGAAGAAAATCTAAAATGAAATATATCTATACTGTTTCTTCTATTCTTTTGAAAATTTAATATCATTTTAACAAGTGTTTGCATATCATTACTACAACTATTATTTTCTACCCCCT